TTGCAACGGGGCCAATCGGGACCGGGGCCAATTGCAACGTGGCCAATCGGGACCGTGGTCAATTGCAACGTGGCCAATCGGGATCGTGGTCAATTGCAACGTGGTCAAACGGGACAGTGGTCAATTGCAACGTGGTCAATCGGGACCGTGGTCAATTGTAACGTGGTCAAACGGGACCGTGGTCAATTGCGACCGTGGTCAATTGCAATGTGGTCAATCGGGACCGTGGTCAATTGAAACGTGGTCATACACAACGTGGTCGATATTAACGTGGTCAATCGAGATATTAACGTGGCCAAACAGGTGCCACTCAAGTCAATGTGTCTTTATCTAACTTGTTTGTTTTTCCCCATTGTTAACGCTAAGCGAGAGAGAGATATCATGACTCTTTTGATATGTCTGCACTCTAATATTTAGCACAGCGTGTCCTTAGGAATGGCGCAGTCTAATATATAAGTCTATGGTGTTTACGAAGAAGCACTCGGAGTCACAGTATAACCAATAGGGGCACTCTCTGTCGGCACCTTTGATCTGAGCGTTCTCACTTTTCCGCCATGTTTTTATAAGCGCCAACAGTGTATCAACTGCTAAAAGTGCCTGAACTCTTTTCAGGATCGTATCCAGGAAATACTGTGGTATAACCACAGTATAACCAGTAGGGGCACTCGTTCTTTTGTTTCACGTTCGCGCCGATCCGTACTGCGCATCCGACATGTTTTTATAATGTCCAATCACAGGATTATTGTACGTGTGTTAGTGCAAAGTCGGTGTGACATTGAAAAATTCGCAGTGTTGACGAATAACGCGTAAATACTTTTATACGTTGGAGCAAGTAATTACATTAATTACTTTTATTAAAACAATTTTTTCATAGGCCATTTCTATTTACAATAAATAATGTATGCCAGTTCGGATGCGCCTTTCCTGGATACGATCCTGAAAAGGGTTCAGGCACTTTTAGCAGTTGATACACTGTTGGCGCTTATAAAAACATGGCGGAAAAGTGAGAACGCCCAGATCAAAGGTGCCGACAGAGAGTGCCCCTACTGGTTATACAGTGGCATGGAGAATGTATAAGGAGACCGAACTGCTCGTAATCAGAATGGGCCGACGTTTGAGCCAGCCAGTCGTTCTGAAAAGAGATTACTGGGAGCACTGTCATCAACTAACTCCATTCGCATTCGTACATGACACATGGTTGTCATATGCATGAAGCTTTCATGGTTATATAATATACGTCCGATCTGTAAATAAGATGAGGAGATGGATTGTGTATGGCTGATGGCAGACAACTATCCGTAAGCGCTTAAGACTGACGTAGCCGTAGACTTAAGGTAAGGCAGAGAAAAACATCAGCCGCAAGGAACACGTGTTTCACGGCTTACGTTTTTCTCTGCCTTACCTTAAGGCCCGGTCTACAATGAGTCGTTAGTCGTTAGTCAGAAGTCGCAACTATGTTGATCCTTTTCCTTTGTGGGTGGAAGAAAAAGGACCGACATTCCGACTTCTGACTAACGATACTAACAACTCATTGTAGACCGGGCGTGTGTCTACGACTACGTCAGTCGGATAGTTGTCTGCCATCAGCCTATCTCTGAAACTTGTGGAGATTACAAAAGTGAGCGAATTCACAGATTGAAATTATAAATATTCACTCACTTTTGTAATTTTCGTAAGTTTCAGAAATTGAGCCCCAGATAACAACAGTTATACGCTGTATCTACGAGATCAAGATCGGTAAACTCATGGGCGAATCCTTACCCAGGTAGAACACAAAATCATAAAAGCGCTTACGGACTTCTGTAAGCCGTAAACTTAAGGTAAGACAGAGAAAAACTTAAGTCCGTAAGCGCTTACGGATGGTTGTCTGCCATCAGCCTTAATCGCGTAAGACGACGCCAGTGCTATAAGTGGCAAAATTTTGATTCACTGCGTGGCAAAAATGTCGGCCCACGTTCGGTGACGTGATCCAGACCTAATTCGGTCTCCTTATACATTCTCCATGTACAGTGGTTATATTGTGATAGTCATTTCTCGCTTCTGACATCACAATTCAACATGACTGCAGTGAGAGTACCCAGGAACTTTATTAAAACTATATAGATTAACCAAATTTTGTTTGTTTCAGAATAGCAACAAGGAGTGAGAGAAGCTGCAAAGTCGATTTTAAAAATACTGACTACGAAATTCAATAATGACTTCCGATTTCCGTTATACAAAAGACGTTCTTCATCGTCTTTCGCCGGAACAAAGACTATTCTACGAAAAAAATGGATATTTAGTATTTCCTCGTCTCATATCGCAAGATATAATAAATATATGTCACCAAAGGTATATCTAACTTCAAGAATTTTTTATTATTTGTAAATTTAAGAGATAAAACGTATCAAAACGTATAACGCTTCCGCCGATAAAGAAATCATGAAAACCGCTTCCAATTTTTCTCGAAAACGGTTTTACAGAATGACGAAATGTTTACAGTAGACGTCTGATTAATAGAGGAACAAAGTAGTACTCCGCGTTTTTCCTAATTTTGAAAAAATTTTACAGGTTTATGTATCACGCAAAATCTGTAATTTTTTTCGCAATCAGGAAAAACGTGATCAACCACTTTGTTACTCTATTAATCAGACGTAGACTGTAAAAATTTGAAATTATTCTGTAAAGCCATTTTCAAGAAAAATTAGAAGCGATTTTCGTGATTTCTTTAGTGACGGAAACACGTGACACGTCGCCTTAATGAATAAACGTGAAATTTTAGGAAACTAGTGATATTATTTAATGGCTCGTCCAGTTGGCTGTTTATTTATTCGTATAGCTTTTGTTTATAACGAGCGCTTTTCTTCTTGTCATATATCCAGTTTGTAAATGTGAGCACATCAAGCTTACATTGCAATGTCATTTTCTTTGGAGTGTTTCCTGAAGAGCTAATTGCTGGAAAGCTAGCTTTGTAGGTGCGGTGAATTTATACGGATCAGTGCCAGATCTACACATAAGCTAGATAAGCTGCAGCTTAGGATTTTCCATTTTAAGGGTTTTTTCGACTCACAATCAGTATAGAAAAGATTTAAAAAATATATTTTTGTTATTATGAATTATTTTCCGTCAATTATTTTTGGTCATCCAGTTAGGAAGCTCACTAGTTGGGAAAACATAGGGTAAGCTTCTGAAAAATCATAATATAATATAAGGGTCACAAAATCGTAGATTCAGCCCTGCTTTTGACCACCGTAATTTTTGTAAACCGTACAAAATGATATATTTATTCAATATATGTACATACTTGCGGGTATTAAAAAGCCTTCAAACTGTAAATTGCTGCAAAGACATTAACCGAAATAATCTTGTGGACGATCCATACTACGAGTAACTTGGTAATCCAGCAGTGTTATTGAAATGTTCGATGTTTCGGTAAATTTGCTGACTGATATTAACGCGCGCGCAAATTCCCCGACCGGCTATAATGTCACAGATGACCGATTATTCAATATCTGGAATGTCGGCATACAATAAATTGCAGATATGAATTTCGTTTTTTATGGACATCGATCACGCGCACGAGTTTCAATCACGGATAATCGCGTCTCAATATTTTTTGCACGTCGAAAAAAAATGATCAAAGGCTCTCTATCTTAAAATAACTATACACCCAACAAAATTGTGTACTCTAATAAAACCTCCTTTTTTCAGATTTGACGAAATCGTGGAAGGGAAGACGTCGCGGGATGGAATAATAGTGATGTACGATGTGAAGGACAGAAAATCAGTAAATAAAATACAGGAAATACACACGGACCCGGTGTTCCGTCGTTACATGGAGCACGAGAAGATACTCGATATAGTCGAGTGTTTCACGGGACCGAACATTTTGGCGATTCATAGTATGCTCATCGCGAAGCCGCCCGACGTTGGATTTGGAACCTCGAGGTGACCCTTAAGAAAAATGTCGAAGTATAAAGCCAACGGTACACGATACTATTTTTCCTGCTTATGTGAACCAATAAGAATACAGAGTTTGGGTCAGGTGACTTAAGGCTAAGTTCTGATTGGCTCTTGTGAGCAATTCAGTAAGAAAAATAGTATCGCGTGCCGTTGGCTTTATCCAGTAAACACCATCGATACATAAAATAGACCGTTGCGCTCGACGAACACACACACACACACATGCGCGAGAGAGAGAGATATAGGGGCTACTGTGTGTACCTCTCTCTCTATAGCATATGTGTTGAGCCCAATGTCCACGATGCTAGAACTTGGTCCAAGTTCTAGCATCGTGGACATTGGCCTTCAGCTCGTCGCCTGCAACACTCAGGGTCGGTGTTCCACTCTTTCAATAAATTAACTAATAGTTAAATCACATACATATATTGTCTTTGTTTTTTCGAATTCAACAAAGATAGACACATAATTAAACTATTAGTTAGTTTACCAAGAGGTTGGAAAAACCAACCCTCAGTCCATTTATATGTCGATGGTAAACACCAATCAACAGTTATAACATCACAATATGTTGTAATATGTTGTTCCCACTCAACAATATAAATATAATGTAACAAGTTGTACATGACAGTTACATTGTCGAGTATAAAATATTGATGTTACGTAACTGTTAGTTGGTGTATACTGGATAATAACGTTATTTGATAAGAATATTCGGTACGCGGATGAAAAGACTTTCTTACGTGACTTATTCTGTTAGACACCCGCCGCATCAAGATCTATACTACTTCCCGTTGCGACCAGCCGATCATATAGTAGCTGCGTGGACAGCCATGGAACCCTGCGATAGCGAAAACGGATGCCTCTACGTAGCACCTGGAACACACGCTTTGGGGACCATGTTCCCGCATGATTATCCTCCGAAGTCTGAGGGAGAAGTGAACAAGTTTTATCATGGCATACACGTAAAATATCTCTATAGTTTACCCTCTTACTAAGATGCTAGTTCTGCATATCATTTTTTAAATTAATATATTCTATTGTTATGAAGCAATTGCCTGCGTTACTGAACCACTGGGTGAATCTGGAGATGCAACCTGGCGACACGGTGTTCTTCCATCCATTGCTCATTCACGGGTCTGGCGTTAACAAATCCCAGAGAACAAGACGGGCAATTTCCTGTCATTACGCAGCTACTGATTGCAATATTGTCGATGTACGTAAACAAATAATTGCTAGTCTTCACAAATAAGTAACTAGTTATCACAAATAAGTACCAAAACCGCGAGTCTGACAAATATAGCAAATAAAATATGTTCATATGTCTGCAATAGGACGATCCGCGTCAGGACACCATCAGGGGTGAGATTTTGGAATTATTGAAGAAAAGATATCCCAACATGGAAATAACATACGCAGACCTCTGGCGCTTTAAATCCTCGCTCGTACGTGGCCTTCGATCTTCTTTTTAAAAATACTTAAAGATCAAACTATTGATTATATCTATGTCAAGATGGCTATATTATTTCACGATAAAAATAATTAGATAACGCTAGCATAAGACCGATGCAAATAATGGTGTAGGATTGAATAAATAAGGGTAGTATTTGGGAGAGGGATAGGCAAGTAACGTCACCACAGAAGAAGAAGTAACGACAACGGCGAGATTGTCGCCGTTATTATTTAATGAGTTGATATTACGTCGATGTCGTTGCGAGTTATAACAGTACTTCGCGAGGGGATCCTTGTAAGTGTTCTCGTGTCGCACACTGGAGCTCGAGGTGCGACAACTGGCTAGACAAAACTGAAAGCGATCCGGATTGCGAATAGGTGTTTTCCCTACGTCTTTTTGTATTTTAGCAGAGCCCGACAGCAAGTCCTTTCGACTTCTTATTTGCTAAAATGAATTTATATCTTAATAAAATAATTATTTTATTTTAGATATATAGATATACCTTTATATGATTTAGAATCTAAGCTTTAGATAGTTTTAAGAGGGGAAGAGAGAGAGAGAGAGAGAGAGAGAGAGAGAGAGAGAGAGAGAGAGAGAGAGGGGAAGAACAAAATAATTTTGTAGAATCAATAAAAACTTACCTTGTCAGGGTGCAGACAGCAGGAAACGCAATACTCGTAAATGGTACAGCACCCTTGGGAATTGCACGTTTTGCAGCTATAGCTTTCTCTCCTACCCATAAACAGGGACTCTTCATTTTTTGGAGTCTGTCTCTGCTCTATCGTACAACATCCATTCGCTAGAACTTCGTGTCTCGAACATACAACACCATGATCATCAACTATCAAACCTCTTCCCTGATAAAAAAAAGATATACATTTATAAATATGTATAACCCAAATCATAAAAATGTCTTATATCAAATATATTCTCAAAACTGACATAATTTTGTATACATATTGTTAGAATGAACTTGGAAACACCGTTGCTACTGTATATACAGGGTTTGTCAAAAGTGTGGAAACCCTTAAGGGGGAATACCTACCTAGAAGCGCGAAAAAAAGGCAATTTTTGTGAATGTTTTTAAGGAAACCTATATGAATTATGGTATTGGTATTTTTTCTACATGAAAGTACACACTTTAAAGACTATGTTAAATTTTTTTATTAAAAAATATTCAATATTGGCGGAGTATTCTTGGGTTCTGTCGACTGTCGCAAAAAAAGGTCCTCCGCGGTGACCACTCCCATTTCATCTGTAATCATCAGAATAAAAAAATCAAAAAGATTATTAAAGTTGACACTATAATTTAGACTTTGACGTAGGGATTTTTGAAAATATCGATTTTAGACTAAATGGCGGGCGTTTGAATTTAAGATAGCGATTTTCAGGGAAAAATTCGGGTTTATTTTGCCGATAAAAAACTAAGTCACTTAAAAAAATCCTACGACAAAGACTAGATAATTATGTATAGAATAACCACTATAAATTTCAAGTTGATCGGTTCAGTGGTTGCCGAGATATTTTGGCCACCGATTTTTAAAACATAGTTTCGAGAAAAACGCGTTTGAAAATTGAGCAATGAATAAATCGCGAAATTTTTCAACTTACATAGAATCATCGATTCCAGGTCTATAATACAAGTCCTCCACCTTGCTTGGAATCCCCATATCATCTAAATTTTGTTGACGACGCCGTAATCGTCCTTCTTTCGATGTTTCCTGCGCCCGCAACTCGGCTTGCACTATGCGGCGGTCATCTTCGCATGCTGCGTACAAGTGCGCATTCCGTCCTACTGAAATCCCCATGACATTCATTACTTGTAGAAGTGATCTGACTCCATTGTTGAATGTACAAGTTGCTAATAATGCAGCAATCTCGACAATTGTGGCCCCGCTGTGTGTTATTTTTGGAGCAATTTTCCAGACTAATTGATTGTAACTTTCGTTACTGTTCTGTGTATAACCACCAACACAGCGCTCCAATAATTTGTCCGCACTTAGATCTTGATAGATCGGTCTAATGGCTTTCAACACAATTTCTGGTAACGCCGAATAGTCATGTTTAAAATCACTGAGTGTTCCTGCAGCTTTTGATTTTTGCCACTTGCACCACGATTCGGCGCCTTCAGGGCAATATCCATGTTGAGGGTTATCATCTGTTGAGCTGTAGTGGTAAAAAGTTGCCCATATTGCTTTTTTCATATCGTCCTTACAATCACTATGTCTTCGAATAGCTAAGCCATAGTAGACGGTTAGTTTGTCTATCAACTTAGCAGTCAATTTGTTATTTCCACCGATATCACGATTTTTTTCTTTACATTCGCGAAGGCGTGTTTCCATGCGCTTTTGGACATGACCTACGCACTCTTTTTTTGTAATTTCACAGTCATCCCCGTACGGTTTCGAATTTATTATTCCAGTATACGTTTTCGAATCGCCATCACCGATGTAGTTAACATATTTCACTTCATGTTTTTCGATAGATCTTGAAAATAAGTCCTTCATGCCATCGACTTTCATCTTGCCTGAAGAGCCTTCATGATTCGACTTGCAATTCTCTTCGTGCGTAGCTTTCCATTCATTGTACTGCTCGGTATTGATGTGCTTACTCCAGTATGTGCATGAAGAGCAAAAACTAGACTTCACAATAAAATCTACAACTTTCCCTGTGAAGTGACCAATCAAAGCCACAACTCCGAACAAAGTAAACCCGCGTTTTCGCCAGGTGCCGTCACCTGAAACAGTCAGTTCTTTATCATTACTGCTAGGATTATGTTTCTTTATTTCTTCTTGTTCTTCTTTGATAGCTTGTTTCAACAATAGATCACAAACACTTAAAGCAGCAGCATGAATGTTCTTCACTATTATATCGTACGTCGACTGTTGAACCGGCGGTGGCAAAATCCATAATTCCACAAAATTTCATTGCTCCATTCAAACCAATCCCCAATAAACGCATTGCAAAATGGAATCTTTGATTTATTTCGTAAGCTGTTTTTATGTAAGGACACGAAGGTATTAAAGTCGGCTCACACGACGAACACGAAACTAAAATTTTGAATCCAAGCCCTCGGATGCTTTCTGCTGCAAATTTCACATCACCTCCACACGTTTTACACTTCACGCATTCTGACAAGGCAGAAAACACCGTAAAGAAGTTCAAAATTCGATATCCGATGCTTGATTCTTCTGGCACTGGAATGTCTTGTGCAGTCTTTAATTTTTTGGCACTGGTACTGGCGTCCAATTCCACTCTTTCTGCTTCGTATCGATTTGCGGGCCGTAATCTTTTTTTTATGCGATTTTTCCGAAAATTCTCAGATTTACGAGAGTCTCGAGAACCTTTTTTCTTATCCATTTTTTCCCCGAATGTTTTATTCCAAAACGAAAACTTTCGACACAACGCACGGTTACGCGAACGACAAGCTACTGACGATACTCCACAAATTTCTCGTAGATCACCAGGCAGATAGGAAATATACGTTACAGAAAAGAATTAAAAACCCGAGCACTCTTCACAAACAATAGAAACAGGTCTAAACGTGATACAGAAAGGGGCCCGACTGGCAGCTACCTGCGTATGACCCGACCTCTGTGTGGCGCGGCGCGTACACAACAAAGGGATGCCACTCTATCAGCTATAACTTTGTTATTTTTTCGAATTTTTGTTTGAAATTTTCAATAGACATTCTTAGGGTGCGTTCCGAATTAGCTATATTTCTAGTTACAAAGTTGGTACCACTGTAACTAACTTGCGTAGGTTCCGTAATGCATCAGCTGAGTTCGTTTCTTGTGTTTAATGTAAGAGAATAAATTTAATTAATAATATGTCTAATACAATTAATCCCAAATTTATAAATTGGACATATATTGTGAGGCCGAGAAGAAAATGTTTACTTTCGTGGTTTCGAGAGAAACTTGTTTGCGGGCTGAAGGCAGTGGGTGGGCTAAAAATGGTTTTCATTATTTTCAATACTTGTTTATTAGACTAACTAATATTTAGACTAACTAATATTAGACTAACTAAACAAGTATTGAAAATAATGAATTAAAACTATTTTTAGTTTACTTACTGCTTTTAGCTTGCAAATAAGTTTCTTTCGAAACTACGAAAGTAAACATTTTCTTTTCGGTTTCAAAATATATATCCAATTTATATTTGGGATTAATTGTATTAGACATATTATTAATTAAATTTATTCTCTTACATTAAACACAAGAAACGAACTCAGCTGATACATTACGGAACCTACGCAAGTTAGTTACAGCGGTACCAACTTTGTAACTGGAAATATAGCTAATTCGGAACGCACCCTTAAGACCTCAAGTTTTAAGAAAATGCAAAAATTGAAAAAGCGATTTTTTCGAACTCTCTAGGTAGATATTCCCCCTTAAATAATTTTCGTAAAAATGAAAATATCAAAAACGATAAAACACATTTTGATTTTTCAAAAAAACTCTTTTGACATGGATACCGATATCCCCCCTTTCCAGGTACGCGGAGGTAAAAGGGGGGTTGAAATTTTAAATAGGACCCCCTATTTTTTTATTGCATATTCTTATAGCTTCCCTAGTAAAAATTTACATTAGAAACAGTCGGAAACAGATAGAACTTATATACGACATCTAACAGCTTCTAACGGAATGCTGTCCGATCTAACTGCAAGCTTCATGAGAAGATTCAATACCTATCCGTTTCTATAAGCAGCGCTGTTGTATCTGCAAATGCAGACAGAAAATGTAATAGCGTATATCTGCATATAATGGAAATCTATCGGCATATCAGTATCTATAAACTTTTGCAATAGAAAATCCTGTCCGTTTCTGTCTGCATCTTGTACGCATCGGATGCTGACGGTATATCTATCCGCAATTGCGGATACCGTATCTATCTGCGTCTGTATGCAAATGTCGACCTCTAGGAATCTGTTTGCAATTATTAATACAATTCGTATCGGTTTCTGTCCGCATCCTGTACTTACTCGTTGCAATCGATACGTAGACGTAATTGCTGATAGAAAATCGCATTGCCTCTGTACGTATTGAATTTGTCTAAAATTACAATTACAATTACAAATAACAAGTGCAACTGTACCCAGTTATTAAAGGTTAATCAGCACTATTTTCAAAACTATAGTCTATTTCTGATAATTGTGGTAATTTTTAAGAATAAATAAAGCATTTTTGTATAATTTTTATGTTCATATATAATATAGACAATGTGCGTTCAGGAACAACTCAAATATGAATCACGAGACGCGGTAGTGTAACGCGCCAAGTATAAGATAGCTAGAACCACGCGCGCGACACCGCCGTGTAAGTTTACGCGAGTACGCGAGTTGACGGGCCCTCAGATTTTCGGTTCTCAACAACGGCTGATCCAACGAACTTCTAATTGCACTCAATCGATAGATTGGGTTCGATTTGTCTTCCGTAAGAAATTGATAGAATACGTATACGCATTTGCAGTAAGCAACGGATAGAACGAACGTCACTGTTACGAACAAATGCAGATAGATAAGTATATCCTGTCTGATTCCGCAGTTAGATGCGGATAGACATTCAAAACTGACTGCGTATAGGAACGGATAGGATTCGTAATTATGTCTGCACATAGATTCGGATAAGTTCCATTCCATTAGGAATCAGTTAGATGTAGTTAGCCTTTCCCTACCGTTTTTACGTACATAATCTTATAGGTTCTGCAACATTTTTCATCTGCTTCTATCCGTAATTGTAGGACCAATAACGCATAGTAGAGCAGTCAGAAACAGATAGAATCCACGTTCTATCCGTTTCTAACAGAATTTTTACCAGGGAGGTATCCTAACTCCACAACTGTCAGATTTTAACAATTTATAGCTATCTTATTAGTGCCAAGCGACGATTTTAACTTGCAGATTTGTGTTTTACTGGCCAAAATACACGATGCTGTGAATTTTTATCACAAACGGAGAGTGAGAGGCTCTCCTTCAGTATTACCAGGCGCTATTATTGGCCTTTGACTCCTTCATAAGATGCGTAAAGGTTTTTCATTATAAAATTTGTCAAAAAAAATCAGTAAACAGTGAACAACATGTAACTGTAGCATGTTAATTACAGGTTGACTTGTATTCAACAGTCAACATGTTAATACGAACACTTACTTGAACAGAATTACGACAAGTCTGAGTAGAAGCGTCGCTTTCATTTAAATTAGATGCATCCATATTTCCAGCATTATCATTGACTGCTTGATCAAGTTCCACCTGCCACAGCGGAGACTTATCAGTCACTCTTAACTCTTCTAGCGCGTTATCATCAAGTATCAAGTCTTCATTATTATCATTAATCATCATGGGATCCATATCGAGATCACTTGCGATCGCGTTCAGATTTTGCGGCCCTTTCTGTAAAAATAGCGAAGCCTTCTGTGATAAGTCATGGAGACAATACGACGTAGAGTCGTGTAATTTTCTACGTAATCTGACCTCGGCAATATAAATGTACCTGCCTTTTCACTTCGGAGCAACGAAAAGGCACAATACGTCAGCGACAGGGCGAAAATGAGTCCAAGAACGAGACGTCGTCTGAGCAATCGGACTAGACTCGTGCAGCTTGGCATCCTTCCTGCGTTCCGCTTATATGCTCCTCCTCACCAAAACCGTTTCGAATTTGTCAGGCATGGTACTTGTGGGACGATTATAGTCCCATAGCAGGGGATGCCGTGCGCGACTGCAAGGTAGATTTGCGATGGGGACATGCGATCACAAATTCGCAGAGATCGATGCGACTAAGAGGTTACGTTTACTCTGAAGGTTCGTGGAGCATTACTGCCGAGGGCTCGCGCACCATGGGCCTCATTGCCACGAGGACGAGCAGCAATCGAACAGCTTCTGTGGATAACTGTCTCGTTAATCGAACGTATTTTTGTTAATTACGAGCGAAAGAAGCGTGCAATCAGGGCAGCGTACCACTCAGTACCACTTCTTCTTCTTCTAGATATGGCACTCGGCTCCAAGTTTGTGGAAGCCGACACGACCACGTCGACCCAATAGTCTAGGTGCGCAGTCCGGATTCATAGCCAGTGAGGACGCTCGTGGCGACCTCTTTGAGTGAGGTATCTAAGAAGCTGGTTCAAATATCCAATTTGGCGCCCCTAAAGGCAGCCAGGAAGAGTCTGCAGGGCTTTGGGGAAGGATCAGTTAGAACAGGGAAAACGTTATCGTCGTTCAGGCTCTCTGAGGAACCGTTGTTGGTTAGGAAATCAAGTAAGTGAGACATGTTGGTTTGGTAAATTGTGCAATTGAAAATGACATATATATAGTTATATATAGTTACATATATTAGTATATATATAGTTATTCTTGAAAGTGTGCAAATTAGAAATTTGCACATTGCTTCCTCATAGAGGAACGTTTAGGAGCGAAATCTAATTTTGCACGATGTTTCTGGAAAGTGTGCAAATTAGAAATTTGCACCTTGCTTCCTCATCTTTGAAGCGTGCAAATTGGAAATTTGCAAAATTTCTTCCACATCATTAAAGTAGGCAAATTAGATATTTGCACATTGCTTCAATGGTTATGGCATCCTCAAAGATGAAGTATTATGAGAGAAATCTAACTTTACTACGAAGTTTCTTGAAAGTATTCAAATTATTCGTATTTTGCTCTTAAAGCTTCCTCTATCAGGAAGCCATGTGCCAATTTCTAATTTGCACACTTTACATTAATTTAATTTTTTCTAATTACAAATTTGCAGATTGCTTCCATTGTTATGGCTTCC